TGGTCCTTCACTGGGTTCCCCTGACCTCAGCTGCAAGCCTGTGATTCCCACTCTGACTTTAGTCTTCAACTAGATCTGCTTAAAAATATGGGGACTTGTTGAAGGCTCGCTCATAAGCCACCTGCTCACCTGGCTCTTGTGAGGTCAGCCTCTAGACCAGGAAGGTGATCAGGAGCCGGAAGAGTTGGACCGAAAGTGTTCCCAGTGCCATTTGGAAAAATTTGAGGAAGAATTTTAAAATGCAGTGATATATAGTGCATTTTCCTGAATCAGCCAAAGGCCAAGGACATTTGTGATAAGAATAGTTCTGACTTGGGGTCGGGGGGTAAAGATATGATTTTTTTTCCCCCTCAGCACAAAAAGGCAAGAGATCTGGATTTTTGGCTTCTGGGTAACCTTTGGGAAGATATTAAATTAAACTTCCTGCTCTCAGGTGTGTAGGCAGGACAAGCCAGCAGGGACTCTGGGAGAAGAGGACCTATGACAGTTCTAGGAAGAGAAGCTGAGCCCTTGCTCAGGTGTGACCCAGTGGGGGCCCTTGTTCTGTGCTTTGTGGGTGGGGCATGGACTGAGGAGGTGGCCTTGGTGAATTGGGGTTGCTGCATGAGAAGAGAGCCAATCCTACATGATCTGCAAGAATGCAGGACGTGTCAGGCTAGGCTGGGCTGGGGCACTGACCCACAGACACCCACTTACCTAAAGAACATAGGTTGTTCTACACTTTGACTTTGTTCCTTCCTTTCTCAAACCAGGACCTTCCCTGAATTTCTTTCTCTCTGATCATTGGGGAAGAGGAGGGCCTGCACATCTTGTCCCCAAGGCTGGAGCCTCTCTAGTCTGTGAATTAATAAGCAGAAATGAGGCCATGTTATAAGCTCTAGCTGTGTGTCTCTTTTGCACCCTGAACTTCTGCTCTCCTCCCGCGTTCCACCCCACTGTTCCCACCCATTCCCCTATGGGCTCATAGAGCTGGGAGGCATCCTGACCAGGACTGAGAAGAGGGCCTGCGAGAAAGTGGCCCTTGACTCTGTCCTCCATCACCTTTGCCAGGGTGAGTGAGCTCAGGCTTGGGAGGGTGTGAAAGTCTGAGGCATCCCAGGAAGGAATTTTCATGTTTTCAGTGTCACTCTGAATTGCGATTCCTGCCACCTATGGTTCTAACCAAGCCTGGTGCCTTCTCCATCACACCACACCTACTAGCCAAGGAGGAGGTTTGGAGGGGGGAACACAGGCTTGGAAACACGTGATCAAGGTACAGGTCATGTGTGGCCGGCGGGGAAGAACTGAATGAAGCACGTCGTCCCACTAGAGGGATTTGGGGATGTCTATTTTCTCATTCTGTGTTTCAAAGGCTCTGAGTTACCCAGACCCTCTTAGAAAGAGCCAATTGTTGTTACTAAGAACTAACAAGAAACTATTATAGAACAACAATACCTTAAGAATTAACCCTAAATTTCTGAGACACACTGTTTACAGAATCTTACATCCAGTATGGATTCTGTTAACTGTATAGATGCTGCACCTGATCAACAAAAGCACCCTCTATGTTTGAGGTGTCAAGGGGACAGCTGGCAATGTGTGTTCATGTGATGACCCTTCTTCTGGTACCCTGAATGTGTCACCCTCCATGTGTCAGAGGAAATGGCCTAATGCACTGCGGGGTCACCAATGGCTTTTGATGCCATGGTAGCGCTGGTCATCAAGAGCAGTTTATTCCAGACTTCAGTAGAGTTTCCTGTTCATGTATATTCTGATCCCCCCACCCCAACTTTTATCACATAGCAGACCCCTTAGCAAGTGGATGGGTTATTTTTACTGCCCTACACAGACACAGTGTCTTATGTAACTGTAAACTGCAAATAGTATGTGTCTCCTGTGTCTCAGCTCTTTACCCACTGAGAAGCTGGTATGATGCCCTTGGCCAGAACAGGTAAAGGAAAACGTCAGTCCTGGGATCATCTCAGTCCTTGCTGTGTGACACGGATCTAGGGTTCCCAGCCTATCCCAGTCTTTGGTGGCCTGGAGCCTTCCCTGCATCAGAACCTTTATACCAATGATTTAGAAATCTCAGCCTTTAGTTGCTTATAAGTCGTATTTTAAGGAAAATTTTTAATTTTGTTTCTCTAGTCTGTGTTCTTTATAGCTACTGTAAGTGGCAGTGCTGGAACCAAAGGCATCCTAAGTTTCTGTTCTTTTAAGTGATTGCTCTCTACCTTCTCTGAGAATGGGGAGATAATTGATGGACCTCCTTGACTTTGTAAGGAAGAGGGCAGTTATTGATGGAGGCCACCTAGAAGAGTGGAGGCCTTGTTCATTATCCCTTGGCTGCATAACTGCTTAATGATAGCCAGGCATGGGGCCTGGCACGGTGACACATGCCTGTAATCCTAGTGGCTTGGGAGGCTGAGGCAAGAGGATCACAAGTTCAAAGCCAGTCTCATCAAAAGCCAGGCACTAAGCAACTCAGTGAGACCCTGTCTCTAAAAAAAATACAAAATAAGGCTGGGGATGTGGCTCAGTGGCTGAGTGCCCCTGAGTTCAATCCCTGGTACCGCCCCCCCAAAAATAAATAAAATATTTAATGATGTCCCCTTCTGTGTCCCCTCCCATACCCCACTCTCCACTCTCTTGTCTTAGCAGAAGCCATGCCACCCCAGTCCTCAAGAAATATAACTCCTGAGCTTGTAGCCAGTGAACATTAGGTAAGGGTACCCCTGTCCAACTCATATCTGACTGGGTGCCTCCTAGAGGAAGCTGAGACATGAGCCCTGGGATCTACAAGCTCTTGAAGAGGCAGAATCCTCTATCTTCAAGTGGATTTTGTTTCTAGCTGCTAAAACTTGGAGCATGCAGAGTGCCCTAGATGTTGTATATTTAGCATAGAACTTCCTAGACACACATGTGACCCGTATGTGAGCTCTTACCTGATCAGAATGACTTGAACTTCCATCTCATTCAAATGCAAGAAGTCAGATTTACTGAGATCCCATTCCACATATTTCTGGAAATCCTCAGTGGAACTCAGAAGTTCTGCAGATCTGCTCTGGCCATTTCTTTGCTCCTGAACTGTCCCTTTGGTCCCAGATTTCCATGGACCATCATTACCAATTGGCCCTGATGCCTCAAGACAAGCTTACTTCAAGTACTGCTCTCTTTGGTCCTGCCGTGGGCTGGTTTGGAGCACCGGTCCTTCTCACAGCTCCCCACAGTGAGAGCTGAGAGATGTCTGTAGTCAAAGTTCAGGAAAAACAGAAGCGCAGCTCAGCATGGAAAAGGAGCAACTTTAGACACATGGCCACTCTCAGAGCCCCTGGCTCAAATCCTGCCTATCCTCAGAGGGCCCCACAGCCTGTTTCACAGCCATCTCCCAGCCCCCCCCCCCCACCTCAAAGGCTCAGTTCCCTTCCTTGCAGTGAGAGGAACTTCAACCATGTCTCCCCTGCCTGGGATCCAGGCTCCAGCACACATAGATCCCAGAGAGAGAGAGAGAGAGAACGAACCATGAGGCTGACTCCAGCCTAACACTGCCCACCTGATCCTTATCTTATGTCCTGTTCCTTCTTCCCTTGTGCTTGATGGGGAGGAGGGTTCTATTCTCTTAGAGAAACAACCTCACCTTTGCCCTAAGAACATAAAACAGTGTAATATCAGTACATTCTGGATTGTCCATACTCGCACACAAATCAGCAAATGGTCTGGTTTTTGGTGGAGAATACAACTAATCCTCACTCAGTGTCTGTTTATAGCATGAAATTTAAGAAAGAAGAAACCTGCCAGAACTAAAGCAATATCAATGGGGAGAAAGAGGGGAAGCAGGTAGGAGATGTGGAAGAGGCAGAGGTGACAGGGCTGAGTGGATGCTGGGAGTGGCCGGCAAGCCCAGAGACTCTAGTGCAGGTGAAGCAGCAGCTACGATACAGGTTCCATTTTAATGGACATTTTGAGTTTGAGGTGATTGGGGGATATTTAGTGGAGATGCACAGTAAGCATTTAGAAATAATCATGAATGAGTGATTGATGTTCTGGGATTAGCATCACACGGAGCCCAGCTTTCTAGAATCTTCCTGCCTTTGCTTTTCCACTTCTCTCTGGGAATACCCAGATTCTTCTTGTCTCATGCCAGGGGTTGCGTTTTCTCTTCTGATAGCTTGGCAAACCTGTAATATTCATGACCTCCAAGTTATACCTTCTAAGTGGGCTTGTCAGTTTGCTTGTCCAAACACGGCTGAGGGTCTCGCTCCTTTCATAGCCACACTTAACTGTTACTGGGCTAACAGGGAGTTCACTGGGTGGTATGATTTGGAGTCTCAGAATTTTTTTGCCTGAAATTCCAGCCTGGAGTTTAGAAATCATGGAATAAAATTCTGGAGTTTGTTTTAATGCATATGAAATCAGTCTTTTGAATAAATAAGGCACATGAATTTAGCTGTATTTTCCTGTACCGTGTAGTGCCCCCATTTTCATTGTGACGATCCATGTTTGGTCAGTCCCGCCAAGTTGATAATGGCTTTCACTGGCCCATCTTTGATTCTTTTTTGGCCCCTGAATTCGTCCTAGACTCTAGAACTTTCTGATGACTCTTCCAATACACAGAGCAGTCCTGGGGCTTGAGCTCTCTGGCCAGGATCCCTCCTACCTCAGCTACTCTGCTGAATACCAGTCACTGGGCAAATGCTTGGCTTTGTTTACTCTGATCCTCTTGTCCAGTGGCCATCGCAGCGGTCCATTATGTAGGGCAGACAAGCTGCTGTCTCGGCAGTGAACCCATTGGGCCTCCCGACACCGTGCCTAATTGTATTCCCTGTTCTCTGCTACCAGATGCAGTAAATTACATTTCCTCCCAGCTCCCCAACCTGCCAATCCTCTGTTCACGAACAGCAGAACCGTAACCTGGGCAGGAGGGGACCAGCAGAACGTCTGGTAAGTCCTGGGGAGTGCTTTGGTTTGGCACCAGGACTGTCCAAGGGGCTTGCGTTTCTCTCAACTTAATAGCGAGATGGGTGCCCTGATGCCTTTACATAGGGGATCCCCTCCTTCAGCCCAACTTCAGACACAGCATGTACAGTGGCCACACAGGTAGGCACTGTCCCCTGATGGGTGATTGAAGAGCAAATGGGAGGGAATTTGAGGAAATCAGAATTTTGCCTCCGGCTCTATGGGAACGTTTCTCTGGTATTTATGGTCTTTATATCTGTCTTTACTCTTAATCTGTAGTGTACCTTCAGGGAATTTTATTTCCCTCATTCAAATTGCACAAATTGAAAGCACTCTGATAGAAGCTGGGTGGAAAGTATTTTCAAAGCATATGAGACCATTGCAGGAACCCCTGGGGAATTGAACTGTTTGTATAATTTGAATCTGTAGTTCCAAGTCTTCCCAGTTCTGGAGTTATTTAGATTTTGGGGGGTGGGGCGAAGTAGCAATTTAAAGATTAAATGTTTCTTACTAATATTTCTGACAATGGTAAAGATTCTAAAACAAGACATTGATGAGCGTAGAGTCTACAGAGAGCCATGCTTTGTTTCTTGTGAATGTGCCTCAGAAATCAGAACCGGAAGGATGCGAATAATAAACCCCTACACCAACTCATTTGCTCCACACAGAAGTGCACCGAGGGCTGGAGATTCAGTGAAAACATGAGTTTCCCAGAGTTGCACAGTTAGTGACAAGGTAGGCAAATTCAAATAGGAGCAACAGGTTTCACACTGTCTCCTCTAGGTAAGTCTGTTTAAAACAAAGCATGTAATGGCATCTTGTAAAGCAAAATGGTCATGTACTTTTAAGCCAGAAGTCTTTTATATAGGCCTAATCTGAATATTTTATGACATAAGCATAATATTAAAATAATATAAAAAGTTTTAATGTAAAAGTGAAAGGAAAGCAAGAATTGACATAACTGTCATGTCCACTGGCTAAATCTAAATGCCTACTGGGCATCTCTGCAGACACCTCAGGATACTATTTTTACATACAGACTCAGAAAGTTCTAGAACTAGATGGGACTGTAAGTGATGTCTGGCCAAACCTGGACCAGGTCCACATGTCCCTGGACAATTAGAGGATGGATATCCCAGAATCTACAAAGGAACCACTGGCAGTCACTTAAACTGTGGGCTCTTTTGGGTGCTCCGAGACACACTTCTGAGATCAACATGCATACCAAATGTTGAAAAGTCACACGTCTCCCTGCTTGTTACTAGAGACTTGGGGGATTGATTGTTTCCTCCCAACTCCTCTCTGTAAGTTCCTGCCCCTCATAGGATGGGTAATACGATCCAGCTAATGGATCAGCTCATGGATGGGGTAGCACATGTATATGGGACTTAATTTTAAGAGATAGGGAAAGGATTTGCACACTGTTGGTGATCAAGGAACATGAAGTTCAAGAATAACAATGTGCTTTGTAAATGGGGAATTCATGTGCGACCACAGCCTGGCATCCTTCATGTTTGAATATACTGCAAAACCATATTCACCTAAGTAGTAAATGCATTTTTAAAAGCATGAGTGATCAGAATCTTTTTAAAAATAAGTTTTCATCTGCTTTTGTTTATTAGCTGAGAACTAATTTGCATAAATGCTTTACTCTGGGAATACATATAAGGAAAGGTGTGGAAGGAATCAAATTTCATGTGGTTGACTTCTTTGTCTGGGCTGCTTCTAGAATGAGCAAACTATCCATTGTAGTTAACTGTGGCCACACAGAGCCCATATGGCATGCCAACCAGTGGCACTCATCAGTAGAATTCTAGATACAATCCATCCTACGTTAAGGACATCCTTTTTGAAATTTGCAAGATCCTAGAGCCATTTTTGTAAGTGTCATCTGTCATGATGGCATGATGCAGACATTCTAGTTGTTTGGTATTAGAAGGTTTCAGACTCTGTATAATTAAAATTTATTTAGAACCGTTGCTCTTCAGAACCGGGAGGCATGTACCCCAGTCCCTTATACTAATGGTTGAATCCTTGCTATAATGGCCCTCCGCAAAGAGGTCCTCAAACAACAGTCACACACTTCAGTGGTTGCAGCCTGATCTCCTCCAGGTTGCCCATTCTGTCTCTAGATGGTTCTGACTGTTGGAAAATTCATCCTCTGATGGAGCTATCATTTATCTACCTTCATCTTCCATCTCTTGTTCCTTCTCCTTCCCCCTGGAGCTGCTCAGAACAAATCCAAGTTGGTGTTCTTTCAAGCATTTGAAAATGACAATCCCTTCCTGTCTTTCCCAGATCCTCACTTTAAATGTCCTTTCCGCCACTGTCCCAGCCCCTGGTCCCGAGATGATGAGACTGTTTGGCAACACCCTCTGCCATCTCTGCCCCTCTCCTCTGCACACTCCCCATTTTGTCTCTAGTCTTCTTGAAACAAGGTGGGCAGAGCTGTCCAATGCACCCCGAGAGAGGCTGACCAACCCCTGCAATGAAGCAAGATGCCACACACCAGTGGCTGCCTCTGTGGCGTCTGGCCTTTCAGCTTCTCTTTCTACAGTAAAGTTTCACCTGCCTGCTCAGCCTTGCTGTTGCCTTTTCTGGGTGAGGCCTCATTTCTGAATCCTTTCAGTGGAAACCTGCAGTCTACCACCTCCCTCCTGTTCACACAACACGTCACCTGCTCAACATGTAGAAGCACCTACAAAAATCATTCCTTCATCTCAAAAGACAAAAATAAGAATGAGCTATGAACCTTTCTGCCCTTTGTCAATTTGATATGACTTATATTTCTTTTTGTAAGCTTGTCTCTAGCAGATGTTGGGGATTCCATGGAGCCAAGGCAGGGAGGTGGAGGGGAAAGTTACAGGACGTGACAGTCGGGGCTCTGGTGTTCTCTCTCATCTCAAACATAGCGGCTTCCCCTCCTTGTATTTCCATTGTATTTTCATTTCTGCATCAAATTCCATTTGAATAAAGGGTTTGGCAGTTTTGAAAGTAGAAAAAAAAACTTTATTATATATTGTTAGAGTCTTTGTAACTCATGATTATGGTACTTGATAGCCTCACTCTGCTTCAGTTGAGTACCACCTTGAATCTGAAATGCAATCTTCCATTATTTTTCATCATTTCACATTGAAAAAAAATATTGCATGTTGAAACCAAAGTTAGAGCCTGTGGCACACCACAGGGTCCCAGTTTGCAGTTAACAGGCTCAATTGCCAGCACCTTTCCTGATGTTCAAGATTCCTGAGACAAAGTCAGGGAGAAGGAAACTGGGACCCTGAGCCCAAAGCACCGAGGACCTTTCTGACTGTGGTGCTTGGTTGGTTTCAGTCTTCTCATCAGAGCTTTGATCTCAGTGGTATTCTTGCTGGTAATTTTCAGACTAGCATCTGTTTCTCTTTACCAAAAAGATAAACACAAAATCAGAGACGAGAAACTGACTTTTGCCTTTGCTATCCAAGGACATCACACCCATGCTAATTTTTTTTTTTCAGCAATGAAAATCTATTCTGTCACAGTCTTGGAGGCTAGAAGCCTGAAATCAATGTCTGCAGGACTGGTTCCTTATGAGGGCTGTGAGAATCAGTTTCATGCCTCTTCCCTAGCTCTTTAAAGGGTCATTTATGTATAGACACTTGGATTTCTTTTCACTGACTCATGACAGTTGTACATATCTCTAGGGATCAGTGTAATCGATCAGTGTGTGAATACAACATGAAATGATCAAATCACATGATTAGCATTTCCATCTCTGTTCTTTGTGTTGGGAACTCCTGTCCTCTCATTCTTTATGAAACATGTAATAAAATGTTGTAAACTGTAGTCACCCCACTGTGCTGTAAAATAGTAAGGTATCTTGGGAACATAAATAATTCAAAGAAAAAGTTTGGGATGAGAGGGAGACTCCACTGTGAATTAATTTCCTCATTTTCATTGTTGTCAGTATCATAAGAGCTGATTTCACATTTCCAACCTTGAGAGAGGGTGTGCACACCTATGTAAAAGTATAATCGTGTGCTCTGAGGGTGAAAACTACACATATGTGTGTTCCTTCAGTCATCCAAGTAGACGCATCACTTGTTAATCACATGTCAGGTTGCAGTGCCGGCTCCTGAATGTTTCTTGTACTGGGGGACCCTAGCTAGGCGCCCCTGGTGGGTGAGAGTCGCCATCTGCCTGTCTGCTGCTCTCCTGATGCACTTTGCACATCCCTGACTCCGCCATCTGCCTGTCTGCTGCTCTCCTGATGCACTTTGCACATCACAGCTGTCCACAGCACCATGACACAGCAGAGCTGCTAGTTTTCATCATACAAATGAGAAAAATGAGGCCCAGAGATGTGGAGTGACCCCGAGTCGGAAGCTGATCCACTGCGTTTCTGCCTCCCCCTGACTAACGACAGCGGACATGTGGTACCTGTACTTTCCGTGTGAACCTCAGCCTTATTCTTCCTCCCATGATCCCAGAAGGACAAAGGAAGTGAGTTGGGAGAAGCCCCGAGTCAAGGGATTCAGCACTGATGGAATTCTCTACCCTCCAGGAACTTGGTCTTGTTTTGTGTGTTCTTGGATTTATTTCTCAAAAGAAGTCACGTCACTTGCTCCCCAGCTTCCCTGTGTCAGATGACCTCATTCCCCTTCTCTCAGCTCCCGACAGCCTTTACAGTTGCTTGCTGTTTGCTCGAGGTGGAGGAAACAGGCAACAGGGAGTGGATGGGGCCTGGGGAATGGGCTGGAACCTGGACCCGGCTGATCTGCTCTTCATACCCATCCCATCTCCGGGCCCCTGAGCCTCAGGCCACAGTGGCTTCTGTCCTGAAGCCCTCACCTTGGCTTTTTGGTAGCTGACTTCCCAGGGGCCTCTCTGTCTCCTCCATACCTAGGTGTCTTCAGAACCCAGACCCTAGAATTATCACCCCCCATTGAGGTGAGTCTCCTCCTTCAGGGAGGGTCTCCTACTGATGGAAGAACTAGGGGGAGCAAGAACCAAGAAACCGTACACAGAGGTGCAAAATCAAAGCACTTTAACGCTGTTTGTTTGCATCCCTCTGAAGAAGCCAGCCATATCTTGTTTTGTTTGTTTGTTTTTGCTTCAGAGATTGAACCTAGGATGCTTATCTACTGAGCCACATCCCCAGCCCCTTCTTTATTTTTTATCTTGAGACCATGTCTCGTTGAGTTGCTTAAGGCCTCACTAAGTTTCCAAGATTGGCTTTGAAACTTGCAATCCTCCTGCCTCCGCCTCCAGAGCCGCTGGGATGACAGGCCTGCGCCACCCTGCCCGACTGCCACAGTGGTTCTGATTCTTCACTCATAGTGCTCAGCTGTCTCCCTGGATTGTTGGAAGGGTTAGTGAAAGTGCTTTATCTACTCCATCAGTATGTAATGGTTTGGAAATCCATAGTTAAATATGTTGTTGCATAAAAGTGTACTTCCATACCCCAGTCAACCTGTGAGTGAAGTGTTCCTTGAACTGTCTTGTATCTCATACGTTTCACTTCTTGCCCAAGTTCTTCCTCCAGGAAGTTTTGGAGAACTGTTACTTTTGCATATGTCTATGGGGCTCTTTTGGAATCTCCTTCAGGGGCTCCCCAGAAAGCCCCTCCCCTCAAGAATACTTTTCCTTCCCCGCCTCTCCAAGATGAACAGAAGCACCAGGCCCCTCTGACCCTCATCACTGTACAAACTGCAGGCACTTCCAGCATGGGAAAGCGTGAGGGCAGCCAGAGGCAGATTGGAGGGCATTCTTGGTGGTGAGAGACAAAGGCCTTCGAGAGGCTTTGGAATAAACTTCTTGGCAGCAGTCAGAAGCAAAAGAGGATTGAAAATTGGGTGCATTAGGCTAGGTGTGGTGGGCCAATCCTGCAATCCCAGCTGCTTGGGAGACTGAGGTAGGAGAATCCCAAGTTCGAGGCCCCTTTAACAACTTAGCGAGACCCTATCTCAAAATAAAAATATATAAATAAATAAAAAGAGCTAATAGAACACATGCTTAGCAGGTGCCATGGGTTCAGTCCCCAGTACCAAAAGAGAAAGAAACAGAACAAAACCCCCAAAATGTTGAATTTAAAAGTGAAGTCTTATTATTCTACTTGTTCATATCCACTATCATTCATAGTTTGTGCATTTTGGAGAACTGAAGCAAAATCTAAGTGCTTACTCATACAGAATACATTTAAGATAAATCTTCACACCTCCTGTGCAATTTTCTGAATGTCTAAATAACATCTCATGTTATTCTCCAGGAGGACCAAATATTGTTCTTGAGGTAAGCCAAATATTCTTGAAGGGTTCAAGAGTAAGTGCAGGAAGGAATCAGGAGCATATCCTTGAGGAACCTGCTAAAAATCTGATTCCTTTAAAGGCTTGTGTTTTATCTGAGGGGAAAAATATGAATATTGCATTTTATTGCATAACATATCTTAAATTTGTCTTATTATAAAAGTATGTTAAAAAGCTTAAAATATTCTACACTCAGATTCTAGAAATATTGAAAGAAACATGCATAACATGTAAACATAGATGCACTATATAACCCTAATAAAACATGTCACATATGGTTCATTGGTGTGGCTGTGTCATTACCTCACCCCTTTATGTGTTGATCTACTTAACCTTCCTAGCAAAGAGCTCATCATACCTTTGTTCTTTCCAGTCTCTGATTCTAGGAGCAGAACAAGGTAAAGTGAGGTTTATTGTGTTGGGGGGTTGGGGAGGGATTGAAACGACAATAACATGTCCTCATTAGCACCAAAGGAAGAGGGACATTTCTAAACATTTCCGTGCTAATAATTTGTATCCTTCACATACATATGTGAAAATAAAAATATTTTGTTCTATATTTTGTATTGATGGTGGGTCAATGCGTCGTTTTGTTTGCCTGACTCTGGATGATTGGGGATAATTCAATATTGTACCTGCGAACTGACAACCTATGTCTCTTGAGTGTGTTAATGGTAGTAAGATAGAACATTGTGGCCCAAGACTGTGCTTTTTAATATAATTGTAATATTTCAAGAACAGGCTTTTGGAGACCATGCAAAATTTTAAATTCATATTTCACTTCCCTGATGACATCATGTAGAAAATCAGGAAATAACTGAGATGAATTTTTCTTTTGACATCACAATCTTAGTGTGTGAGCCCATGTACCTCAGTGACAAATAATGGCTGGCCTTCCATTGTGTCACTTGAGAAAACTCAAAATCCTAATACAAAACAAGTGAAACCTCTAAGATAGTAATGGTGAAAATTGGGCATTGCCTTTTGCTCCTTAATCTTGTTGGTGAAGTGTGAACTGTTAAAAGACTGTCTTGTTATGCAAGCAGACAGAACGATATCATTGCTGTTTTTTAAAATCAGTTTAAACATTAATTACTGTATGTAACTTCTTATTGGTGTCATATTATTATACAAAGTACTTGTGACTATGTTAAGACCATCAGATTAGACTCTTTAGTTAATAGCATTTGTTTCGTGGGTGTGAATGTCTGGAACCTTCTATACAAAAGGTTCTAAGGTGGGTGCTGGCAAAGTAGGAGAGTCATAGAAAGGTGGCAGGCAGCAAGTTTACTTTCAAGGATCCTAAAAGTCTATGAAGGTGATAAAACATTCCCACAAACAATTATACTGCTGGGTGGAAATTGTTAAGTGCCCTCAGATAAGTTTAGAAAAAGTGTTCAGAGAATCTAAAGGAGAGGATAACTTAGAGATGGGAGGACCCAAGAAAGCTCATGGGAGAGGGGCAGTTGACCTTGACATTGATGAATGGGTCCTATTTGGTTGTGTAGAAGGTCAAAAGAAGGACATTTCAGAAAGGAATCATAAAAACAGGAAATACTTAGGTATGGAATGGTGTTACATGGTTGTGCTCAAGGAAAAGGGAGCGATAGAATATATGTTTGAAAAGATAGTTTGGATCTTCTTAGCAGGTACATATTCAGAAAGGTGGGGACTCAAACCATGATAAGCAAGGCTCTAGAAGTCTGCCATCGGACAGGGACAAAGGGCAGGCTAGGCCAAAGGACAACAGGCACAGGGGGATGCTGGGCTATGTCCTGGCAACAGTGAGAGGTTTATTGTGGCCAGAGTGTGTGGAGCACAGAGGGCTGGGAGACAAGGCGAGAAAGAGGGTCGCAGGCCACTTCTGAAGGGAGCTGGCCAAGGGGTGGAGTTTGGTGTTTATCCTCTGTTGACAAGAAGCAGCAGAAGGTTTCCCAGTAAGGTGACTTCATGGGCAAGATGGTGAACAGGCATGGCACAGGCTTGGCAAACTTTTCCTATAAATGGCCAGATGGTCAATGTTTTAGACTTTGTGGACCACATAGGATCTCTATTGCATATTCTTTATTATATTTTTTCTTCCTTTCCTCCTCCTCCTCCTCCTCCTCCTCCTCCTCATATTCTTTATATTTTTCTTCCTTTTCTTCCCCTCCTCCTCACCCTCCTCCTCACCCTCCTCCTCACCCTCTTCCACGCCCCACCCTCCTCCTCCCTTTTAAAACTGTGAAAACCTCTGGTCATGCAGAAGGAGGCCCCAGGCTGCCTTTGGCTCTCTGGCAATAGCCACTGTCCCTGAGAGAGTGGAAGAGAGAAGAGTCAGGAAACTTGGAAGAAGGCTGTCGTGCGGGGTGAGGCTGTGGGGGCGTGAAGTGGTGGTGAGGAGATGCAGGGGGTGGTCTGAAGCAGGTCTCCCTTGCAGTGATTGTTTGGCTGTGAGGTGAGAAGTTAGGAAGAAGACCATGAATCATGTGAGACTCTGACTTGAGAGACGGAGTGAGTAGGTGGTGCTGGGGGTTTTAACACCAAGACTGTGGAAGAGTCTCATGAGAAGGTGGGATCACGTTGAGGCTGCTGAGTCGGACGTGTCAGTGCATCATCCAGGTAAAGAGGGCCCCCACAGGTGGCTCTGTGGGCCTGGGACCCAGCTTCCTCCCATCCAGAAAGTGTGCCTCACAGGGAGCCTATGAGGGAAAGGACTTGAAAGGATGAGGTGTCCTGAGAGTGTGTCTATAGGACAGGAAAGAGCTGGTCCTCAGGAATACCAGATTGGCAGCAGGTGGGGGATGAGTCGGAGGGGACAAGACTGGAGAGTCCGCTTCCCCAGTAGGAAGTTCTTCCAACAATCCAGGGAAGAGGAAAGGAGTCTCATGTTGGGTCATGGCAGTGGAACAGAAAGAATATGACAGAAAAGACATTAAGGGGCAGGATGGCAGGGACTTGGCACTGTGTACATGGAAGAAGAAAGAACCTTCTGCGATTTCATCCTTAGACTGTAGTGTCATAGGACGCCACTGCGTCTGTCTTGTTCTTTTCCTAGTTCTTGTTTTGGAAACGTCCCTACTGACTGAAGTACTTACAAAGCAAGTGACATGAATAACTTCACACCTTGTAATTTTTGCAAACACCCTGTTTTATAGCACAGTAGAGGATATCCATGTCTCTCCTAGAAAAGCCTGGGCATATTCGCCCTCATAGCAAAAGGAAATACAGAGAACTAGAGATGTGGCTCAGTGGTGGAGACCTTGCCTAGCACGTGCAAGTCCCTGGGTTTGATCCCCAACATCACAAAAGAAAAGAAAAACAGGAGGGGAAAAAAACAGGAAATGAGAACACTTGAGGAAAGAGTTGACAAAAGATTTAAGGTTTCGGAACTGGGACACATCTTAACCGAGGGCTTTTAGATTGTCTGTAAACCTAGGGAAGCCCATAACCAAGGTAAATGTGCGGGTTGTCAGTCTTCCTGTAATTCTTTCTGCCTAAATCTAAAGTCTCGTGTGAACTTATTTTATCAGTTCTTCCTTGAAAGTCTCAGTGTCATTGAGATACAGTAACTGTGTACTTCTGTCTTCCCAGTGCATTAAGCTGCTGTGTTAAAACGCACACGCAACCGCCTCTGTCCACGATGTGCACCTCACTCTAACACTCAGGATGCTTGGCGGTTAGAATAGAGAGGGCACAGAGCCATTTTTTTTTTTTCCTGTCTGTTTGGCAATTAACCAATCACTGGCTTTTTTTGTTGTAACATGCACTTCCTTTCTCTTGTTTTCATTCAAGCTGTGTACGCCATGGAAATTAATGTGGAGAAAGACAAACAAACAGGAGAGACCAAGATTCTCTCTGCATCTACCATTGGCCCAGAGGGGGTCCATCAGAGAGGAGTCAAAGTCTATGATGATGGTACCAAAGTAGTGTATGAGGTGCACTCGGGAGGCACCGTGGTAGAAAACGGAGTGCACAAATTAAGCGCAAAGGATGTGGAAGAGCTTATTCAGAAGGCTGGACAATCAAGCTTGAGAGGAGACCACATGTCAGAAAGGACTGTGATTGCGGACGGAAGCCTCAGCCACCCCAAGGAACACATGCTCTGCAAAGAAGCCAAGTTAGAAATGGTCCATAAATCTAGGAAAGATCACTCTCCTGGGAACCCAGGGCAGCAGACCCAAGCCCCCAGCACGGAAGGGCCAGAAGCAAGCTTGGATCAGCCCGTCACCATGATTTTTATGGGCTACCAAAATATCGAAGACGAAGAGGAGACGAAAAAGGTGCTAGGCTACGATGAAACCATCAAGGCTGAGTTGGTCCTCATCGATGAAGACGATGAGAAGTCATTGAGAGAGAAGACAGTGACGGATGTGTCCACCATTGATGGGAATGCAGCCGAGCTTGTGTCCGGGAGGCCGGTCTCAGATACCACAGAACCCTCGTCCCCAGAAGGGAAGGAAGAGAGCCTGGCCACAGAGCCAGCCCCAGGTACCCAAAAGAAAAAGCGCTGTCAATGCTGTGTTGTCATGTGACCACTTCTTTCTTCCCTCTTCCTCTGGGCAGCCTCTCTACTCTCCACCACTTACATAGACCTCACTCCACCACTAACTGCAGTACTGTGAACTGGGAGCAGACACCTGCCTTGCCTTGCAGTTGGATTGCTTTGATCTCTCTTAATTTTTTTTCCTTCTCACCTGAGAAACAACGTGCATGTGTGTGCTCCATTTTTTTCCTCCCAAGAACTTGCTTTTCCTCTCAACCTTTCTTTTGTATCTTCGAGAATGAATCGGTTCCTTTCTGCTCGATTGGAATGGACTCTTCATCTCAGCCAATTATCTAGTAGCCTTAATTTACTTGACTGGAATTGAACCCATTGGCACGGGGGCTTTCATTTTTCTAGAGTGTTCCTCTAACATAGTCACACACACACACACACACACACGCCACCACGTCCCTGACTTCTCACTGCCTCCCTCACTGTGGATCTTGTTTTTCTGTCTCATGTGGCAAAATGCTGTGGGCTCCAGCTGGTTGCTAGTGTAGCCAAAAGTGGACCTTCCTTAATCTGTCCATTCTAGGGTGATGCTTTTTGCTGCCTTATGTATGCTTCCAGATTACAGTATTGTGTGTCTGTGGCTTTCCTTCTGTTAAAACCTGAATCGAAGTTCATGGGAAAGAAAGAACCCAGTGTGTGTCACAGATGAAGTATAGGCCTGAGTCTAACCACTGCCCATCAGCAGCTGTGTCTCTTTCTATGGCTTAACCCATGAACCCTTTATACAAGAAGCACCGTTTTAAATTTTCTAAGGACATGAGACGACCATTGTTTTAAGCCTCAGTCGAGATCTCCAAGCTCAGACAGGCCAAATCCATGAGCCTTGTTTCTATTCTTTAAAAAAAAAAAAAAAAGTAAATTTTTATATTGTTTTTCTTTTTCATGGATATTTTCTGATCATGTTAATCTACTTTCAACGAGAGGATCATTTTGAGAAGTATCTCTGCAGTGACCACATTTCTAAAACAGTCTTTCTGACCTACAGTGGTTGCTTCCGTGCTCCCACTTCATCTAGGATGGTGCTGTCAGCATTAACTGTCCATCTCCTGTGCCCGGTTGATTCGAGTCTTGCATCTGTCCTCTTTTCTTTCTGTTCCCATGAGAATGTTTCAGGTAACTTCGACATGTAGGTTTACCTGCCCTTCAAAAACCCTCTTTAAGATGTTAAAAAAAAAAAGTTGAAAGATGAAGAAAGACTTATCTTCTCAGTGTCAAGTACTTAAATTCATTCATCACAGGCACACTGACTGAGCTCCTCGGAGCTCTGTTTCTTAAACTTCTGGAGATTCTGAACATCAGGAATACTTTTTATCTAGAACGTGATGGAGTCCTTGAAATAAATTCTTAGTGCTGCCCCAAAGTGAACAGCCCATGCATGTACAGTAAAACCAAAGGGAAGGAATTTTAAAAAGAATAATAATAGAGTAATGAAATAAAAGTGTATTCTTTACCTAATTTTAATAAAAGATAGCGTCACTTTAAGTTATGTGCCCAGATGCTTGTAGCATCATGCACATCATTCACAGAATTATCTATATTGCCATAGAACCTGGTTTCAAAAACAGCATGACACATTACTTAAAGTCTTAACTCCTGCCGAAAGGAGCTCAGAAAAAAATCAAGGTAGTCTCGAGGATGTGTTACAGAAAATGTAATTTGTCCTATTTAGTCGGCTCAGTGCTAAATCTATTATTATTTTTAAATGTCTTGGCTTGTAACTGTATTTATTCCAATTGAAGAGGGAAAACTGACATTTTTAATTTCCCACAGTTATTTTTTCTCAAATAATTAAATTTTTAATGAGCACAAAATGATTCATTTCACCTCTAATAGGGAAACAGAAAAAAAACAAAAAGGTAAAGGAAGGAAAAAAAAAACAAAGGAGTTAAGTTCTGCTTTCTAAAATGATTCCCTCCACAGCTTTGTTTTGGATAACTGAGAGAATTATCTCTAAGTCTCAGGTTCACCAAAGTAGCTTCAATGGAGTGAAACTGCTCTATTATCTAGAAACCTGGTTTTAATGTCTATAAGTCTCACTACTCTGGATCTCATCTTCCTCAAGAAATGATCATTTAAATATTTCAATATTAAATAAAATAAAAAGTAGATAAACCTATTTCCTTGGAAGGAGAAAATGGTTTTAATGTTTTGGACAATCTATTATTTTAAGAATTTACTTAGGAAAGAAACAATCTAAAGGTTTGCCATAGTTTTATCCTTTTTACTCACTTGGGGATTAAATCTGTTCCATGTAAGTTGTTAAAAAGCACAGTTAGCAAATAGAATGGCAGAGCCGGTTCTTTCTGATGAACAGAATCGGTCTTGGGAGTAGATGACTCCCTGAAACGATCTGTCCTTTCCTAAGTGAATGATTTACCCATGAAGAAAACAGTCTGCACCCCTTCTTACAACACGGCTCCTATGGTCAGAAAGACCAGTGATAATCCACCCGCATTCATCACTTGGGAATTGTGACTGGCAAATACTATGAATTAGACCTCTATACTTTTATGATTAAAGCTTATCATTTAATGGGTTTCAGGAAGATGTGTTGCCTTTCTTAAATTTATTTGTGGCCACAGTAAATGAAGGTGTGTTTGAATATGGCATCTATATATTTGTCTATTTTCTATGATTTTCCTGTCTTAATGGGGGATGCAGGCTCAGCCAGCCCTTTTACGGGATGCGACCTACAATCCCACCTACAGCAGCAAGCTACCCTCTTAACGATGAAAATGTAAATGGAGTTCTGATTGTAAGCATTCTGCCTTTCCTGCTGCTATTGATATTCTCTCTCTGAAAATTGTATTATGCATGGTATGGCCCCCTTTAAGGATGCAGGGTATTTGGTTACATAACCAGACTAACTAAAGAATCAGTAATAAAGCTCCAAAACCATGATTCCCAATTAAACTAATGTTTAGCTGAGCTTTCTTTTAGAATTTTAGGATCAGCTCCCTTTTTAAATAAAAAGAGGAACTGGATGCTTGGTGTACACCTATAATCGCAGAGACTTTGGAGGCTGACTTAGGAGAATTGCAAATTTGAGACCAACCTCTGCAATTTAGGGAAACCCCTTCAGCAACTTAGAGAGATGCTGTCTAAAAATAAAAATAAAAGGATTGGAGGGCTGGGGATATAGCTCAGTTGGTATAGTGCTTGCCTCGCATGCACAAGGCCCTGCCTGGTAAAGGGCCCTTGGGTTTAATTCCTAGTGCCGGAAATTAATTAATTAATTCTTGATGACTTAGTATCTTTGACTTTTTTTTCTTTATCTTCCTTTTTTTGTTTTGTTTTATTTTTAAGACAAAACTTAAGGTTTTTTTTTTTTTTTTTACCTTTTACCTCTTTCACTCATGATAATATTATTTTTCTTAAAAACCAAAAAATAATTGTCTCTAAAAGTGATTTGCTAGTGTCCAGTGATATCACTTAATATCGGGGCTCAAGAGGAAAAGAGCTAGGGAATTCCCTCCTGGACAAACCCAAAACATTATTTCCTAAAACCTCCTGAGCAATCTTAAAATTATTCAAAGGCTTTTAGGAAACTCAAATTCTAGAGTTAATTTGTTTTATTAAGTTACTCTTAGAAATGTTATTATACATGTATTTGCTTCAAATAACCATCTTCTCCAGTTTGCTTTCTGGTGATAAATGTGTTTCTCTACATGCAAATAGAGTATCTTATTTCTATTAGGGTCAGACTTTTATAGAAGTGGGGAAATGATATGTAGAGAGTTTCCTGGATATATGTTATCATTTCTGGGACAAAACATTGGAGTCACATGGGAACATCTTATTTTCCTTAACTTCTTGCAGAATTTCATGTCAAGGGATTATTGAAAACTACCATTTATTTAATGCCGATGTACCAATGAATATCAATGTCCTCAAAAGAGGAGGAAAGAGTATATGTTGATAGAGGCAGAAATCAAACTACCATACCCATCTTCCTTTTTAAAAAGCATTGTTGACCTTGTCCATTTAAAAACAGAGAAAATGCACTGAGTAATGTTCCAACGTAAAATCTAGAAACTCAGTCATCTCTGTTCATCACAGAACCCACCAGAAAGTTCAACTCGCTAATGAACGCTCTTCTTGTAGATGTCTTTTCATTTCCTGCAATGTTAGATTACAACAGTAACCATTCCAAGGCAGGCAGTCTCCTGTTGTATTTCTGCATCATGCACATTAGTAATCAAAACTACAAATTCTCTGCATATTTAAGAAAAGGTCTCAAAATTTTATAAATATGCAATCTTTGGGAAGCTCCTCGATTTCTTAAGCAACATCTATTGAACTCTACTGATGAGGATAGAACCAAAAAGTACCCTTTGTCCTCTGGGTTAGAAAAACACAATGAAACCTGGGAGTTGCTGGTATGTATCATAAAGTAGTTGAAAGTAATGAGGAAGATGGAATCTTTGATTCCTGCTACCTGTTCGCTGTCATTTGGGTAGCCTTCTTCTGGACTTATCAGGAAAATCTTCCAGCATTTTCTAGGGAAAAAGGAAAGTCACTAATTAGGAGCACAGTGCAATTTTGCATCTATATTTTTATAGCTTCAGCAAATTTCTTCATATAATTCCCATTTAAACAACAAAAAAATGCTTCTTGTTTGATCGTAGAAAGGCATAGGATAAAAATGACATTTGGAAAGTTTCAAAGGGAAATTTCCTTGAGAAGTCCTTAGACCAGCTCTCTCAGCTGCATGTTCATCTAGCTTATATCAGCCTCTGCTTCCCCTCTCCCCTCCTGTGCAACATCGGAAGGTCGAAATTGTTGCCCAGAAAGCTTGCTGTCAGTGTGAAATTGTCATTTGGGGGACTGCAGGACTTTTCTGCGTCAAAGATCTGGACAGCCTTAACTTTTGTAAAAAAAAAAAAAAAAAAAAATTAATTTTTCAATGTTCTCTTTTACTAAGCAGGAAAAC